CTCCGCCGTCCTTCTTGGACGGCGCGAGGCATGTCTGGGGCGGCACCGGCATCGCTTCGCCCCCCACAGAGACTGCACGCGCCCCAGGCATCACCGAGCGCGCTCCACTGCTCGCAAAGCGCCTGCTCGCAAACGTCCGAACAAGCATGGAACTAGTGGCCTCGACGTCATGGGTCGTGACTCCCCCGCGGCGGCTCCGGGCCATCTGCAGGTGGCCACCCTGCGAGTCGTGAAGCGCGCTTGTCCAGGGCAGGCGGCGACGAGGCGGCGCTCGAGGCGCCCGCGGCGCACGGCGCGCGAGCGGGCCCCCCGCGCGAGCGGCGGCAGCTCTCCGGCGGCGCGGACGGCTCGCCGCGCGGGGGGGGGGCGTGCCTCCGAGCGCGCCGGCGGGCGGCCGCAGGCCCAGGCGGAGCGGGGCGGGCAGACGGCCCAGCTGGCCGCGCCTGCGCGAGCCCGGGCGGCAGCGGCCGCCGGCCGCAGGCCAGGAAGGCTCGGCATCGTTTCACTCCGTGTCACCGATCCCCCTCCCCGGGCCCCAGGCATCGGGCGTCTCGAAGAGATCGAGACGGAGGCTTTTCTCAGCTCTGGTCCTCTCGGGGCCCGCCCTCCCCGGGCCTCGGGGCCGTCCAGGAACGACTCGGGACGAAAAACCGGTCCCGGGAAAGTGGTCGGTTGGTCGGGGGCCCGCGTCTCGAGAACATCGAGACGTCGGACGTCTTGGGCCCATCCCTTCGAGACCCTGACCACCCCAGTTGGGGATGCACCCCTCGAAACCCGAAGGGGACGGCCCGTATCCCCATCTAGGGGGGTAAATCGGCCAGCGGGGCCCAGGCCACGCCGCTGGCGATGGGGCTCGGTGACACAATGCTCAGATGGCGGAGCAGCCCGGGCCCGCACGGCCAGGGCGCCCTGCGGCGCTGGTCGCCGGCTGCGGGCCCGGGGCAGACCCTGAGATCTTGGCGTTCAGTCGGGCGCGTCCCTCTACAGGGGGAATAGTCAAAAATAGCCAAGAAATAGTCTAGGGACGATTTTGTGACTATTGTTGCGCATTTGGGGGGATATTGTTTCAGTGCGTTTTATTATTTTTCGCCCAAGTATGGGGGGACACGCCCGACTTCATCCTGGCGCTGCAGTGCTTGTCGAGCCGGGCGTGCTTTCGTCTTGTGTTTGGGCCTTGGGGCCTTCGCAGATCCATGCGGCTCGAAGGACCCAGACATCCGACGTCTCGATGTTCTCGGGGCGCGGGCCCCGACCAACCGACCACTTCCCCGGGACCGGCTTTTCCTCCCGAGTCGTTTTTTTGGACGGCCCCGAGGCCCGGCGAGGGCCCCGAGAGGACCCAAACTGAGAAATACCCTTCGTCTCGAGATGTTCGAGACGCCCGATGCCTGGGGATCCCCACGACGCAGGAAGCTGGGGTCCAGGGCTCCGGGCGTGACGTCTGCTCCGCTGTTGCACTCTCGTGCGCCCCACGTCGGGTCCTCCGGGGGGGGGGGGCCGCGGGGCGAGCGGGAGGCCCCCGAGGGGGCGAGGCGGAGCCCGGCAGGCGGCGCGCGCCGCGCTCTCTGCGCCACGTGCGGGCCGCCCGCGCGCGAGGCCGCGGCGCGTCCGCGCCCGCGCGCCGCGCGCCGCGCGGGCCGGCGCGGGGAGGCGCTTCCCGCGGAGGCCCCCGGCGCCGCGAGGTGTTGCACGGCGTGGGCCCGCGGAGCCTCCGGAGCCTCCGAGCCTGGCGCTGCCCAGGGTAAAAATTATCCTGGCGAAGGACCCAACCATATGCAATTGTGAATAACGCTTTGTGGTTGCCGCTTTCGGTGGGGCTCCTTATGGGGCCACGAAAGGCGTGCCACGAAACGCTGTCCTGGGCGTACGGGACGCATGAGGGCGGTAGCATTGGGGCCTTCGGTGGAGCTCCATATGGGGCCACGAAACGTGTGAGGGGTGTGCCGAAATGGGTGCGGTGCCGCCATGCGCCCGCAGCCACTGGGGCCTTCGGTGGAGCTCCCTATGGGGCCACGAAACGTGTGAGGGGTGTGCCGAAATGGGTGCCGTGCCGCCATGCGCCCGCAGCCACTGGGGCCCTCGGTGGAGCTCCCTATGGGGCCACGAAACGTGTGAGGGGTGTGCCGAAATGGGTGCGGTGCCGCCATGCGCCCGCAGCCACTGGGGCCCTCGGTGGAGCTCCCTATGGGGCCACGAAACGTGTGAGCGGTGGAGCTCCCTATGGGGCCACGAAACGTATGAGGGGTGTGCCGAAATGGGCGCGGTGCCGCCATGCGCCCGCAGCCACTGGGGCCCTCGGTGGGGCTCCCTATGGGGCCACGAAACGTGTGAGGGGTGTGCCGAAATGGGTGCGGTGACGAGGGAGGGGGCAGCGGGAGGAAGGAAGGAGTGAACGCGGGGCGCTGTCTCTTCAAAACGAGGACCCAACACCACAGGATGGTTGGGAAAAAATCGAGACGGAGGTCTTTTCGCAGTTCTGGTCCTCTCGGGGCCCTCGTGGAGCAGACATCACTCCCAGAGCCCTGGACCCCAGCTTCCTGCGTCGTCCCCATCTCGAACATATCGAGACGATGGGTATTTCTCAGTTTTGGTCCTCTCGGGGCCCTCGCCGGGCCTCGGGGCCGTCCAAAAACGACTCGGGATGAAAAACCGGTCCCGGGGAAGTGGTCGGTTGGTCGGGGGCCCGCGTCTCGAAAGAATCGAGACGTCGGATGTTTGGGCGCAATGTTTTCACAACGAGCGCGTTTTCGCTCGGTTCTGGGCCCCAGGACCCTCACGGACAGGTTTGGCCTGGAGAATGATGCGAAAATCTGGGGTCCAGGGCTCCGGGCGTGAGTTTTCGCGATGTTGCGTGTCGTTCGACGTCAGATCTGAGGGAACCCCTTCCTGGAGACTGGGTCTCCATCCTCTGTGCAGTTTTTGACGTCCCCGTGGCCCGGCGAGGGCCCCCCGAGGGGCCGACAAATGTCAAGCAGAACACGTCCTGTTTTTTTCCTGGCCCGAGGGGGTCTGGGTTCCCAGATCGGCGGCGGCGCGCACGGCCACGCCAGGGCACGACCCGCTGGTCGTCGAGGGGCGGGGCGGGGCGGACGGGGAGGGCTCCCGAGGTATCGGCGCAGGTCGTGGGCGGGAAGCATGTCTGTATGGCCTCGAAGAGTCTTTAGTGTTGATGCCCCCTACTCGTCGTCCTCCCTCCTCCTCCACCACCTCCACCTCCTCCTCGTCCTCATCCTGCCCCTCCTCCTTCTCCTCCTTCTCCTCATCATCATCCTGCTCCTCCCCCTCCTCCTCGTCCTCTTCCTGCTCCTCCTCGTGGTCGTCCTCGTCCTCGTTGTCGTCGTCGTCTTCGCGGCGGAACTAACTGTCCCTCTATTATTAAATTGGCTGGACAATGTTGGGGGGCTCTCTCTGCCAGGGAATGATCCATTGTGGGTTACCCTACACGCGAGAGGATCAGTAAGCATCTTCTCATGAGGATTCGAATCAGTGGATGTCGTTGTAGTTGTGGTTGCAATCGTGATTGGGGTCGTGAGTGTAGTTGTGATTGTAGTCGTAAGCGTAGTCGCGGTTGTAGTCGTAATCGTAGTCGTAGTGTTCGTCGTCGTATCGCCATCCTTGTTCACGTGTCTCCTTGTCTTCTCTGTGTTGCCTCTTCTGTTCTCTCTGCTCCACCTTGCTCCTGCCTCCTCCATCATCTCCCTGCTCCTCATCATCCATACCTCCCTCCCCTGATCCTTTATTGCTCTTTCCTCTCTCCTCTATCTTCCTTCTGCCTCCTCCCTCCTTCATTCAAGCTCCTCCCACCTGCCTCCTCCGTCATCCCACCCGCCAGCCCTCCTCCCCGTTCCCTCGCCTCTTCTCACTTGCTCCCCTTGCACACCCCCTCCTCCTTCTCTGCGTTCCTTTTCCCCCCATCGCTCCTCTTTCTCTCTCTCTCTCTCTCTCTCTCTCTCTCTGGCTGTTTTTCGTTATTATGTTTCTCTAAAGTTGTCTCTCTCTCTCTCTCTCCATTGTTCCGTCTCTCTCTCTCTCTCTCCCTTGATGTGTATATATGGACCGATTCCTGACACCTTTGCGTACCTCCGTCCTTCTCCCTCCCCCAGTCGGCGTTTTCTGGCCTGTCTCTTCCGTCCTCCCCCCGCCTGCCACCATCCGCGTTCCCTGTCCCTCGCCCGTTCCACGCACACTCGGGCACAGCCAAGGCAGATCGGATATGGGTCCCCTCGATCGTCGAGTCATCTTACCCTCGCACGCGTCTTGATACGCTGGAAGCCCTGTGGCGAAGGCATTCCACGAAATGCAGGAAGCATGGCACGTAACACGAAGGCAACGTGCGCTTACCTAATGGGTACCACGTGCACGCACACCACAGCCCCACGAACTGTGCACGTCGGCTGCGCACACATACCATTCACATCCATGACCTGCCACGTAAGGCTATGCACAATACATGTGCGCATTGGGTGTGCCCCCACATGCGCGCATGTGGCATGTACACCCGACATATGTCGAACATGGCTTCGGTACATGTACAACACCATGAGCACAAATCTATTACGCGCCACGTGCACATGCTCTGCTCATGCTGCATGGACCACAGAAAACTTACAGCACGCAGAGTGCAAAGCAGATCTTAAATTCCAAATGGAGTATGCAGGCTGCGTGTGCGTTGTCCGATGTTGGATCTTATGGAACCGATCTCGGCTTCCAGAGAGGGCCCCAGGGGCCCAAACAGGGAGCGAAAGCTGGGAGCGCCTTGGGCCAGGACCACTTGTGGCAACAACCGACGCCCTCAGAGTCCCAGAAATTCTGGGGCACTTACGCGCGCTGGTCCTACAGTGGAGGCCCATGCCAAGAAACACCCTGCTTGCCTCCAGGGTGCCCTGGAGTTCCCACACCAAAAATCAATGGACGTCCTGGGGCCTCAGGGTTGGGTTTCTTGTGAAAAGTTTTTTGTGGACTGGCCTCCACTGTATGTCCTAACTGGCCTGCCGCGCCAGGTGGTGCGGTGTGCCCGTGGACCGCCTCACGCAGGAGACCCGGCGCGCACTGCAGCCTTGAGCTCTTTCCTGCGACACGGCGCCAAGACCACCGCGAGATCACGTGGCCAAGCCTGCGGCCACGTCAAGGCAGTCAAAGTGAGGGGCCCAGACATCGGGCGTCTCGAAATTATCCCAGTGCGACCCTACCTAGGAGTTGGAGCCTCTAGGGAAGCAACATTAGTAGGAGCGGAAAACGCCGTCCTCATCCTTCTCCTCATCGTCGCAGCTGTAGCCGTAGCAGTAGCAGTAGCAGTAGTAGTAGTAGTAGTAGTAGTAGTAGTAGTAGTAGTAGTAGTATTAGTAGTAGTAGTAGTAGTAGCAGTAGTAGTAGTAGTAGTAGTATTAGTAGTAGTAGTAGTAGTAACAGTAGTAACAGTAGTAACAGTAGTAACAGTAGTAACAGTAGTAACAGTAGTAACAGTAGTAACAGTAGTAGCAGTAGCAACGGTAGTAACAGTAGACGTAGTAGTAGGCGTAGTAGTAGTAGTAGCAGTAGTAGTAGTAGTAGTAGTAGTAGTAGTAGTAGTAGTAGTAGTAGTAGTAAGTAGTAGTAGTAGTAGTAGTAGTAGTAGTAGTAGTAGTAGTAGTAGTAGTAGTAGTAGTAGTAGTAGTAGTAGTAGTAGTAGTAGTAGTAGTAGTAGTAGTAGTAGTAGTAGTAGTAGTAGTAGTAGTAGTAGTAGTAGTAGTAGTAGTAGTAGTAGTAGTGTAGTGGTAGTAGTAGTAGTAGTAGTAGTAGCGCCAGAACCGCCGATGCCACGCCGTGGATGCTGTGCTGCGCTATGCTATGCTCTGCTCTGCTCTGCTCTGCTCTGGCATGCTATGCTATGCTATGCTATGCTATGCTATGCTATGCTATGCTATGCTGCGCAATGCTATGCTGGGCTAGGCTAGGCTAGGCTAGGTTATGCTATGCTATGCTGCGCTATGCTATGCTGCGCTATTCTATTATATGCTATTCTATGTTTTTGCTTTGCCTTCGCTTTTGCCTTCACGTTTGCCGTTGCTTTTGCTTTTGCTTGGCACCCATGGAGCGCAACTGGGGGAACCGCGCGTTTGCTGTTACCTTTGCTGTTGCTTTTGGTTGGCTCCCAGGGGACTGGGGGAACCGCCCGGGGCGCTTTCCACTGCCCGGCCCCTTTAAGCTAAAGCGTCAGAACCCTTCTAGGCAGAGCCTAGGTAGGGAAAAATCGAGACGGAGGTTTTTCTCAGTTTTTGGCCTCTCGGGGCCCTCGCCGGGCCTCGGGGCCGTCAAAAAACGACTCGGGATGAAAAACCGGTCCTGGGGAAGTGGTCGGGAGGTCGGGGCCCGTGTCTCGAAAAAAATCGAGACGTCAGATGTCTGGGGGTGTTGCCCGAAGAGGGCCATCTTTTCCCTGAGCGTGCGTTCATGGTTCAGGATGGTCCGCTTCCGGGACGGACACCGGGGATGGACATTGGGGATGGACGTTTGGGATGGACATTGGGGACGGACGTTGGGGATGAACACGCGCACTCGCACCGCTTGCACGCACACTCTCTTATCCTTAACCTTGGAGGACCTGAATTTATCGTCAATGTAATTCTGCACCATCGAACCTCGAATTGAGGCGCCAGCCCTCACATAGATCCGAGCCCAGCAGTTTCCCCGCGCCCACGCGGTGGGATTGATGAGGACAGCTTAGTCGCCCAGGCATCGCGCATTGTTGGGTGGTGTAAGTGAGCCAGTGCGTCTTTTGCTATTTTTGCATGCCGTGTTTGTTACCCCGTATTGTTTTCAGGCGCCAGCCCGCGGCCTTTTGGTCTTCGTTCTCGCGGGCGACGGTTTGGAACGAACCGGGTTGTTTGGGGGATGGCGTCGTGTCCGTTGTTTGCATATTTTTGTGCACAAGCGGCGTTCAAAGCAAGAACGACATGTTGCTCACGTCCGGCCCTCTCCTCCAATGCCGCCATCTGTTCGTGACGAGGTCGCCCCGGGATCTCGACCCATTCCCACGGGGCGTTGTTTCTCGTTCATTCTCCTTCTCCTGCCCCTCCTCCCCCTCCTCCTCCCCCTCCTCCCTGGCATCCTCCTTCTCCTTCCCCTCCTTGTCCTCCTCCTCCTCCTCCTCGTCGTCCTCCTCCTCTTCTAGTTTGCGCCACTCGGGCCAGACGGCCCCTGGAGGCCGAAGGTTGTGTTTACCGCCCGGGTCGGGTCCAATGGCAAGCTGGGCGCTGCCGCAGCATCGTTTAAGTTTCCGCTCGAGATCGCGGTCGGTTCCGTCCGAGCGACCTCTACGGGGGGAAACGTTAGGGGGGGATAGTAGGCTCAGGGGGGGGGGGGGGAGCGACGTATCGACCCCCCCATCGCCCATTGATCGTCGCCGATGGGGTCCGAGAACCCGCCCCTGCCCAGGACGGTGCTGGCTCGCTATCAGGGGGGCCACTCGCCGATGCTTCGCCGAGTCCAGGCCACGTGCCCCCGCCTGAGCATGTCACCCCCTGACGCTGCCACGGAACGGGAAGTGCCTGCGGGCGCCCCGGTAAGATGCTTGGGCACCTGCGGGCAGCCCAGGAAAGGGGGAGGAGGAGGAGGAGGAGGAGGAGGAGGAGGAGAGGGAAGAAGAGGAAGGAGGAGGAGGAGGAGGAGGAGGAGGAGGAGGAGGAGGAGGAGAGGAGGAGGAAGGGGACTGCGGAAGAGGAAAAAGATTGAGGAAGAGAAGGAAGATGAGGAAGAAGAGGAGACTGAGGAAGGAAGAGGAGGAAGGCTTAGGAAAGAGGAGGAGGAGGAGAGCAGGAGGAGGAGGAGGAGAGGAGGAGAGGAGAGAGGAGGAGGGGGAGGAGGAGGGAGCGCAGGAGCAGGAAGGAGGGCAGGAGGACGAGAACGAGGCGGTGAGCTGCAGTGCCGGCCTGGAGACCCGGACCCCCAGAAGTCCCCAGGAGCCCCCGACGAGGCGGACGCCCCCGCGCCGGAGGTCCCCCCGAGGTGGCCTCCGGAGGCCCACCGATCGGCAGAAGGCCTCGGAGGTGGGCCTGCTTACCATCACCACCGCCATAAGTTGGAGGGGGAGGGGGTCCTCCTCCTCCTCCTCCTCCT